TTATTATTATTATTATCATCATCATCATTACTAGTATCATTATTATCATTTTCTTTTTTCCTATCAAACACACAAACAAACAAACAAGGATTTTTACAAAATGGATTTTGTAGCAACAGGCTCCGATATTTTTCAGTCTATTTACCGTAAGTGTGTATTGATAATCTGTTCATTTCGTGGGAAAATCTCTCTTCTGATTACCGTTACAATTTATCGATTCTATTCTGTCGTTTCGTGATAAGTTTCTGCATAGCCCACATTTCGAAAAATTCTTTTTGTGAGGTGTGTAACTGTATGTTTGTAAGTGTGTCTGTATGTGTTAATGCGTGTACCTAAGTGTGTGTTTGTTTGAGTGTGAGTGTATAAATGTGTGTATATGTGTGTTTAATTATGGGTGTGTATATGAAAATATTGTGTATACGTGTGTGTATATGTGTCTGTATGTGTGGGTACATGTACATGTGTGTAAGTGTCTGTGTGTGCGTGCGTGTGCAATTATATTTGTGTGTGCATGAGTATGTAAGTGTTTATGTGGGTGTTTACTTATATGTGTATGTGTGTGTGAATGTGTACATGGAAGGATATGCTTAAGTATGTGTGTGAGCGTGTGCATGTGTAATTGTACATGTAAGTGTAAGTCTGGGCATGTAGGTGTGTGTGTGTGTGTGTGTGTGTGTGTGTGTGTGTGTGTGTGTGTGAGAGAGAGAGAGAGAGAGAGAGAGAGAGAGAGAGAGAGAGAGAATGTGTCTTTATGAGTGTAAACGTGAATATAAGAGAGTAAGTATGTGTAGGTCTGTGTAAGTGCGTGTGTAAGTTTATGTGTATAAATGTTTATATCAAGGACTACTATACTAGTATAGTAGTCCTTGGTTTATATGTATAAGTGTTTGTACGTGTGCGTGTGTAAGCATGTGTGTGCGTGTAGGTGTGTGTAAGTGTGTAACTGTTCGGGCGGATCACAGAATCAAGGATTAGCCGCGTCGTTGACGGATTACTCTAAGTCACAGTGGCAGAGCAAGGACTGGGACTCTTTGTTCTGTGGAGGGTTGCTTGCTGGGCCTTGGGCGGTGCACGGGTTTGGTACTGCTGGGCACTGCTGGGCACTGCTGACACAGACAGAGACACGCTGACAGACTGAAAAGACAGAAGAAAAGACTGAGAGACACAAGGATGGACAGACAGACAGACAGACATACAGACAGACAGCCAAACAGACAGACTAACACACAGACAGACTTACAAAGACAAAGAGACATGCCGACGAACAGACAGACAGACGGACAGACAGACAGACAGAAACAAAGTCAGACAGACTGATAGAGAGCTCAAAATCGAGCGGTATGGAAGAAGAGAGAGAGAGAGAGAGAGAGAGAGAGAGAGAGAGAGAGAGAGAGAGAGCGAGAGAGAAAGAGAGAGAGGGGGGGGAAAGAGAGAGATAGAGAGATAGAAAAGAGAAAGGGAAGAGAGAGAAAGAGAGAGAGAGAGAGAG